AATCATTACATATGGTGATTATTTTTCTTTTTGAACTGTCAGGTTAATTTAAACTTTTTACATCTTAATTTAGATCGTATATTACTAATTTTATGCTTTATTGTAGTCCATGTATGCTGATATACTTATTCCATGATAATTCTATGTTTATCCTTTTGTGTGATGTAAATTAAATGTTGAATGGCGGTTCATGCAAGGGAAGAACATATCAATATTCGCATATTCATTCAAAAACATGAAAATTCTTAATGGAGTACCCTCATTTTTTATTGAATTCCTAAAAAACAATATTTATAATGAATTTTAATAATTTTTTCGGATTTTTTTGAAGCTTTATTCTGACCGATTCACCCGATTCCGATCCGGATCGCCGATTCGCCGATCCGGATCGATTTTTGAAAAGCCCGATCAGAGTCACCGATCCGGTTTTTAAACCATTGCTAAATGCTATTCTCAATATCATTACGGCTTGTATGAGCATCAAACACTAATAAACTTATCAGCATCTATGCAAATCAGACATTCCAGTTTTTAGACCACTAGTTCGAAGTGTTAAGTAACACGAAACATTTTAATTTTTAAGCACCAATCTTAAATCTTAAAGTGGATCACAAAAATAACGTATTTAAATAAAAAAAAATTTTATATAAGTGCGAGGCTCTAAATAATCAAAGTAAGGCGCTCTCCAAAAATTGAAAAGGTTATTTTGAAGAGTAGCTATTTTATTTGAGGGAGCAACGACATAGTGTGCTACTGCAGCTTGAGCACATTCAGCATTTTATCTCACACATGTAAAAAACAACTTCGTCTAATGATTTTTATGCCTCCTTAAAATACAAATGTGCACAGTTATCAGGATCGGACCAGGCATTTAACCGGCGTTGATTTTGGTCATGAATAATTTTTTAAAAATATAAAAATTATAATAAATTGTAAATTATAAAATATATTAAAATAATATTTATTCAATGGGTTGCAAACTCAAAAGGTTTAACGGATTGAAACTGGTTATTGATCGAATTTTGCATAGATTGAAATTCTAATTTAGATTGGATTAGCCAAAATATCGATCAAGAACAGTAGTCATCTCCACAATCTTGCAGCAAAACCAAGCCATGGGGCAAGTCTGGGTAAACTGCTCAAGTCGATTAGGTCTTGGCCAGGCCAAAAAGGGTTAATAGTTTTTTTAAAATCTCAAAATATTAAAATAAAGAGAAAAGTATGTTTAAGATATAGTTAAATAAATAAAATACATCCAAATAAAATTAAGAAAGTAGTGAGAAATAGATATTGAAAGTTCCATTTGTATTTAGAGATATTTTAAAAATAATTAAAAAAAAAAGATAATATAAAAAAATATATTTATAATCAAAATATATTTTAAAATAATAAAAAATATTTAAAAATTTATTACAAATGAATTTATTATTTTTATAAATTTTTTAATTCTCTTTTTTAAAATTAAGGTGGTTGGATTGACCATGTTCGAGGGGGCCGTGGCACTAGTTAATGTGCGTAAGAGAGAGAGTAGGCGATCTACCGCCGTAGAGAAAACGTTGTTTGACGTTAAAGAGAGAGAGAGGGCAATCTGTTTAAGAGAGAAATAAATGGACTTGGATTTAGAGAGAGAGAGAGAGAGAGAGAGAGCGCGTGGGTTTCGCTCGCCTGCTCATGTCCTCCACTTTGATCGCTCCCTCTCTCTCCTCCATTTTCATCGCTTCTCTCTCTCCTCCTCTTTGTCCCTCTCTCTGTTTCTCTCTCTAACTTTCCCTGCCTAATCTCTCTCTGTTTCTCTCTCCAACTTTCGCTGCCTTATCTCTCTGTTTCTTTCTCTTCCCATCTCTCCCTCTCACTTTCTCTCTCTAAGATCCTATACTGTAAATTCCCACGAGTTTCAGTCTGTAAGTCTTTGAAGCTTACTCATGTCTCCACACAATAAATTCATGAAACGCAAGCCCAAAAACCAATGAATTATCCCTCTCACCTCTCCCATCCCGTCACTTTTCTCTTCCTATCAATTCTCCTCTTTCATTTCCATTCTCCCTCTACAAATCAACATAACATAACCCTAATTGATGATCAGACCTCTCCCTCTAATGGAGAAGATCGGGGCTCTCACTCTGATGGAGGAATTTCTCAGACAAGATATATTGTTCGCTTTCGGGAGTACAAGAAAGCTAAAGATCACAAGAAAATGTTGGAGAAAAATCTTAAGGATGGAGGTTGGAAATGGATAGAGAGGAATAACCCTGCAGCGGATTTTCCAACTGATTTTGGTCTGGTTTTTGTCGAGGATTCGGTGAAATCACAGTTGGTTGAAGAGCTTGGGAAGTTAGGGTTTGTTAAAGATGTCTCTACAGAGTCAGTATATTCACGAAACTTGCTTTTTGATGGAAGATATCAAGGGGGAGCTGATTATCACGTTTATGAAGTCCAGAAGCAACCAGGAAAGATGTTCACTTCCATGTCTCAGGAAGATGACTATAGTAATGTGTTTAGCAATTTTACATTAAATTGGAAACGCAAGCTCCTGCTTCATGTATGCCCTCTCCATGTCTATCTACCTTCTTTTTTAGCGTCAAATTTTGTTGGGTTCTCTACATTCTGCGAACTTATCTGATCACAGAATGTTCGAAGTGCAAATAAGAACTCTCTATCTCTCTCGGTTTCTTATCTTACATTTGTTTTGGGGATCATAGATATTGCGAATGAATTTGATTAAAGAATGCCCCAATTGAAAATTAGGATTGGATTTGAGCTGAGGAGGTGCTTGTTATGTCCTTTGGATGAATTTGTGCTCTCTTTTTGTTGACATTTTTTTTTGGAATGTTTTTCTTGTTGACTATGTAGCTAAAGTCCAGTTGCATCTTTCAATGGAACACTCTTCCAAGAACCAAAATATATGCATTTTATATTGGATTTTTCTTTTAAGAACCAAACAACAAAATAATGATAAACAGCGGGTTGCATATGATCATAGTTCAAAAATTCGGCTGCCCAACTGCCTACATGGCCGCCGAGGCTGAAAATTTTTCAAAACGCCTTGGCGCAGTCAGGGCAGGTGCATAAGGTGTTTTGTTTCTGGGTACGCGCCTAGGCGCTATTGTCGGGGTGGCCGCCGAGGTGCCGCCCCATGACAATTTTCTGGCGGCAGAAAAAAAACCCTCGGGTGAGGATAAAATATGTAATTTTTCCCTAGAAAAGGGGGAAAAGGGTTTTAGGGTGTATTCTAAACCCCAATTTACAATCCATGGCCTTTAGGTTGAGAAAACCCTCTCAAAAACCACTATTTTGTGATTTATCGAAAAATTGATAAATTTTATATTTTTTTGATTTCTTCTCGAAATAAAGACAATAGTTTGTTGGTGGATTTGGAGTTTCTAATAGTTGATTTTGAGATCTTTTGGCATCCCAATAGATAAGGTTTGCCCAACACCGATTTGATTTTGATATTTTTTAAGTATTATCATATTTGAAAAAGGGTTTTGATTTTATTTTCTACAATACATTATGTTATGAATCATGAGTTTTTTTGTTTTTTTTTTTTTTTTACGATCGATGTACATGTTTGTAATTGAAATATTGATTTTTTTGGTGATTTATTGATTTTTTCTCACTTGTACGATGAAATTCAGCATATATCGTATTCTTTTATTGATTTTTTTCATCTATTTCATGATCAGTTTGGGGCTTTAAAATTGCCTTAAAAACTCCCTAAGGCTATAAACCAGCGCTAAGAACTCCCCTATTTGTTATATTTGGGGTGGAGGGGGGGGGGTTTGATATTGTTGAGGGCTCCCTGTCCCTGGGTGGGCGCCTAACCACCTAGGCAGCCTGGCACCTAAACCGCCTAGGTGCCCGGGCACCCAAACCGCCTAGGCGCCCGAATCCGTTTCTTTGAGCCTTGCATATGATATGAGATCTTATTGCATCCTCTTTGATGAATTATGAGTTGTATGCTTTAGTTTTTAAGAGTATTATTTTGAGTGCTGGTGTCCAACCATCTATAACTCCTATTCCCAAACCTCGAGTATGAGAGTTGTATGCGAAACCTTAAGTAGGAGTGTTGAATTCCAAGCTCTTTTATTGAATGCAAACATGTGAAATAATGGGGTATATCTAGAAGGAAAAAGTTTATATAAGGTAGCAACCTTATAATATAGAGCTACGGATGCACCTAAAAAATCCATCGGAAAAGGTAGTTTTAATGTTGAAAAACCCTTTGATTGATCATCGCGACATCGAGATGTATGACCATGAAAAAAAAAAAAGATTTTAAGTCTCAGAAATAGTGCATTTTATAACATATTATCTACACCGTCCATTTTCAAGATTTTCATATGTTTATAGATCTAATTAGTTTTAACCATTTTTTAAATTTAAAAGTTTATAATTAAATGTAAAAATAGATTTTGAGATAATCCTAAGAACATTTTACATCAAAATTATATACCATGATAAAATTTGAAGACGCACCTTACCTCTACAACTACGGATGCATCCGTATGCCAACTGCACCCTATCTAGAATGACCCAAAACATGAATTTCCTCAAGGGGAGGGATTACTCAAGGCAATTCAAGTTTTTGCTTGTTGTTTCTTGAAGAGAACATATTGTTTTGTACTATTATGCACCTTGGATATGCTCAGCTTGTATATGATTGAAATAACCTGATCTCTTCCTGTGGAAGTATTACCTTGACAATAGATATTAATCATCTAGCACTATTAGTTGGTTGTCTATTCTATTTCTACTAGTATCTGAGCCCTTTTTTTTTTTTTCTTATTATTATGATAGCGATCACAAGTTACATCGATGTTTGGAGCAGAGAAACTTTGGGCAAAAGGTTATAAAGGTGGAAAAGTCAAGATGGCAATATTCGATACAGGCATCCGAGCCAATCATCCGCATTTCCGTAACATCAAGGTATGCAATCCATTTTGGTAAATGAAAGTGCATAATTTTATGTGCTTTTGAAAGGCATATATTTAGTCTGCAATATGGAACTCATGCTTAATACTTGGAGGCTTACGATGCTTCTCATGCTCAACTTCCAATTCTAATGTAGCTTGTTAGCTCAACAGTTCAACTTCTTGATTATTTATTTTTCCTTTTTGTATAGAATAAACCAACTTATCGTATTGTAAGTTCCAAAATTTAAATATACATGAATGAAATCTTTCAATGTGAGGCTGTAATAGGCATTTTCTCAAGTAACTGAAAAAGTATGCCTCCCCTGTTCCAAAAGAGAACATTATCACGGAACGAGCCATTATTAGTGATGATGTTGAACTTTTTTATTTGTGGCATTTGGTTGAATATTATTTCATTAGGTATATTTGTTTTGGAGGCGATCTAGGCTTGCTTATCTGGGCCTTAATTGTTGACCACTAACCATGGAAGGATTTTGCTTCAATGCCTTGACAAATTCAATTAATAGTACACGAACACCAATTACTAAATAAATAAACAACTACTCTTACTATATATATGCAAATGATTTGTGGCTCATATGATTGTTAGTATTGGCATAGCATAAGGAAGATGATAGGGTATTCCAAGAATTACATTATGTCTTCAACGAATTCACAAGTATATTATAATCATCATCATCATCATTATTGTTATTATTTCTTATACTTTTAGGCATCAATTACGAGGGTCATTATTATTCTTCTTTGGCCTAAGGAATGATATTAACAAGGCAAAGATGATTTTCATTTAGAAGAAAATAGTTGATTATTCATATGGGTTCTCGGAGTTCTTGTACGGTATATAGGAAATTGGCAATTTTCGACTCTTAGCTTTGTAACTATTTCGAAGTAGCTTGATAGTTTGTTTGAGGTGTTTATATATCCTGAAAATGCTAAAGTTCTTAATCGCCCGATGTGGATAGCATTTCTCTAAAGAAGCACGAGATGGCTAAGTGCTTAACTGCTGCGAAAACATTCTATATGGTGTTCCCAAGATGGCTCGGAACGGTTAAGTTTTAACTGCAGTGCAAATGCAGATACACTGCAGCTAAGTATTTAACTGAAGTGAAAATGCAGTGACTTAGTGAAGCAAGAATTGCCAACCATAAGCATTAATCGCACTGAGAAGGCATAAAGCCAGTCACAAAGATGAGATGTGTCAAATTATGGTCAACAAATGAAATTAAAGAGATGCTGCAGTTTTGGCACATTGCTTGCCAAGTAGAAGCATGCGGTCCCAATTCCCATAAAATTAGTCAATGGGTCTGCCAACCTCAACCTTTTGAGAGCTTGTAAAAACCTCCTCGAAATGGAACTGCTTGACTCCTTATAAAAAGGCTAATAATAGCAGGCAGAAAGAGGGAACATTTTTCTAGAGAGAGAGAGAGAGAGAGAGAGAGAGAGAGTGAGAGGAAAACTTTGATATAAGGGATTTCATGCAAAGAGAGAGAAAGACAGTATAGGAAAGAAGGGAACATGTAAGAAGATGGAGATGGCAAGTTAAAATGCGGACTGTCATCTTTTCTTTCTGTTGTGTATGTTGTAATTCCTCTTTTTATAGCATAGTTTAGAAACCCGGTTCGGGTTGGTACGTGTTATGGTCTTTACTCTGAAACCCTAGTTTGGCAAGCTCACACATCTATGTATCGATATGGCAAAATAATATTATAGGGTCTTAAAAATGTAAGACAATCCTCATGGTATTTCAATGGGACCCAGGGGCAAGTGACTCAGGCGATCCTGAGTTGAGTTCCCGAGCTTTCTAACACTATTATTACACATCTGGGGAGCCTTCTTCTTTAACAAGATTTATCTATTTATTGAAATGATGTAACCCAGATAATAGATACAACCCCAGAAAAGGAGAGTGTAGTGTTAAATGTTATATTTTCTTTTTCTTTTATTGAGAGAACAACAAATTGGGGTCTTCGTGATTATTTTTCAAAGTTTTTCCGTTTTCATGATACTTTAATGCACATATGTGATGTACTGACTAGAAATATTGTTACAGGAACGTACAAATTGGACCAATGAGGACACTTTGAATGATAATCTTGGACATGGAACATTTGTAGCAGGAGTCATTGCTGGTCAAGATACAGAGTGTTTGGGTTTTGCTCCTGATACAGAAATTTATGCATTTCGTGTGTTTACTGATGCGCAGGTAATGCATATGGTTTCTTTAAAAGTCATTTTAGTAATTTGGTTAATTTCTCAAATTTCTTGGTTGTTAGTTGTCAATATAACTTTTGGTTTTCTTAGACTCTGCTTTTAGCGAAGGGTTTACCATGGTTTCTCAAAATTATATTATGAAATCAACTGATTGTGCATATCTAGATATACAGGAAGCCCATGATGGAAATGATAAATTGATGTTAGAATGAAGACAATTTTTATCATTCTAAGGAAAGAAGGAAACTGCTATTTATATTTTGTTGGTTGTCATAAATGGATTTGATTCCTCGACCATAATTTGATGTGCCAAAAGAGGGAAATATCTTTGCTGTACAGCCAATGTAATGCATAGACACTGTTTCGACTGGTTCCATGAGTGGAAGTTCAAGGCTTTGATACACATGCACTTAATGATGCTTTTTTATTTATATTTCCATTTTGAAAATTTTGTTTGCAAATAACTTAACATATGCTGCAAACACTCCTGATCTTAAACCTTTGTTTGTTCATGTGTGAATTTCGGTTTTTACATAGAGCTCAGTTTATGGAATTTTATTGTCTTAGAGGGCTGGTCGTTTCCATTTGTATGGTATCATTCTTATCTATTTTCCCACAAATAATTGTCTGTTGTGAAGGCAAAGTATCTTTATTTTTGTGCTGTTATATAAGAAGAAGCTTACTTTTTCTGTTTGAGGTAACCAGTGTAACAACTAGCAAGATCATGATAAGTTGGGTGTTCAGCCTAATTGCAGGTATCATACACATCTTGGTTCCTCGATGCATTCAACTATGCCATTGCAACTGGTATAGATGTACTGAATTTGAGTATTGGCGGACCAGATTACTTGGATCTTCCATTTGTTGAAAAGGTCAGCCTTCCTGGACTTCATTCTTTTGTTTGGAGAAAATATATCCTATATATCCTATGTATAGAGTTATGTCTGGGCAAATGTTTTTTGTTCTCAATATCACATGGTGGAGATGACCAACAATTTAGATGACAAACATCTCCGCCGTGCGTCTTGGTCGTTGTGTTTCTATGCTTGTTGCCATAACAAGATGGGTCTTATGTAATGTCCCAGTGCGCCCTACAACCCTTGTTTATCTAGTTCTATTCTTTGGCTAGAAAGTATTGAGCTGCTGCCTAGTTTACTCATGAATGAACATGCAAAATGGCAAATTCTGTGGGCTGCTTCTTTTAGTTTATGATATAATGAATTCATATTGTAAATATGGAAAAAGTTTATATAAGGTTGCAACTTTTTTATGTAGAATTAAAGATGCACCTCAAAAATCCATCGGAAAATGTTGTTATAATGTTGAAAAACCCTCTAATTGATCATCTCGACATCGAAATGTATGAATATGAAAAAACAAAAAGGATTTTGAGTCCTAGAAATAGTGCATCTTGCAACACATTATCTAGACCGTCCATTTTCAAGATTTTCATATGTTTATAGATATACTTGATTTTAACCATTTTTGGAGTTTAAAATTTTATAATTAGATATGAAAATAGATTTTCAGATAATCCTAAGAATTTTTTACACCAAAATTACATATTATGATGGGCTTTGGAGGTGCGCCTTAATTGTGTTGTTTAAGGTTGCAACCTTATTGAAACTACACCCTTTAAATATTATTAATTGTACACTGTAATGTTATGGTGGGTAAACCATAGACTTTCTCGTGTTTTGTGCTGACATGCTTCTTTAACTTTATACCATTATTTGTTAGTTTTCATCGATACTTTAGTAGAATACATATGTGGTTTGGGGGCTAGTTTTTATATCCATGCATCTCATAAGTATCCCATATGTTGGGCTTGTTTACAAAAAATGTGGTTGAAAAATAAGTGGGGTTTGTTTTAACATGATTTTAGAAATTTTCTGGCTTGATAATTTTTTATAATGCAGAGAGAAATATTAGTTGCACATAACTGAAATGTGGAGCAGATATTAAGTATCCACCTTATAGAGTCTGGAGAGATTTACAAGTGGCCCCTGTTATCTTTTCTGTATTTTACTTCTGTTCTATGCTGCATCCTGATTAAAGTCTAGTGACTTTTTAAAGAAGGGTGCAGTTTGTATTGTGCCTAGGCTCCAAACAATCAAAATAAAACACACCTTCAAAATAGTGTCGAGGAATGTGGTTTCAATACTGGAAATCTTTGTGAGAGCCTTAAAATATATTTTCATCTTTAATTATAAATTTAAAGCTTCAAAATAGTGTAGATCGAGCAGATCTATGAAAACTTGAAAAGCTTGAAAATTGACAGTCCAAAAATGCGTTACGGGATGCACTATTTCCAAAACATGAAATCCATTTGTTGCTCATGTCTGTGCATTTTGATGTCGAGATGATAAATTTGAGGATATTTGGATATCAAACCAACCTCTTCTAGTGAAATTTTTGAGGTGGGCTCTAATTTGATTGTTTAGAGCCTCGGCTCTCTATAACCTTTTTCCTTTAAAGAAATTCAAACAAATTTTATATTTTACTTGAAACATGGATTAGGACAAAACATGTGATCTCATGTATTTGTAAAGTTCAATTACGTGCAGTTCCTTTATTTTTGCTCTGTAATTTACACGATCGAGGATTTCCATAAAGGCGGTTCAATATTTGGTATGGCGCCTTATAGTTTACCTTCTTGTGGTTGAATTGCTATGCAGGTCTGGGAGCTTACTGCAAATAATATTATCATGGTTTCAGCTATTGGAAATGATGGACCTCTATATGGTACTTTGAACAATCCAGCTGATCAAAGTGATGTCATTGGTGTTGGTGGCATTGATTACGATGATCATATTGCCTCTTTTTCCTCACGTGGCATGAGTACTTGGGAGCTTCCTCATGGGTAAATTTTATACTTATTTTCGGTTACTTTTAATGTCATAATTCGAGTGATCAAGTTGTGATTTATAGTTATCGGACACAGACTAGTGGAAGAAAAATAACTTAGTTCTATCTATATTACATATTAATCGATCAAAAAAGAGATTATATATTCTGTTTCATGGCAATCACTTACTTTTGTTGCAGTATCTAGTGCTCTAAGATTGCTAGATAAATATATGCTGTCATCTGATTCCTTGAGGAGTTATTTTATCTGATTCAATATCAAGATATCATTATTTCCCTGGATTTATGATCGAGCACTAAGTGGTGTTATCATCATGTTCTTCAAATCTTGCATTTATATTCCACCTTATGTGTTGATTTTGGAACGTTATTTTGATATTCTTTCTTTTTTTCCCCTTATAATTGTTTCCCTGCATAAAAAATTATCGGTTGTTGCTTGTCTCTCTCTCTCTCTCTCTTATCTCTTTCTCTCTCTTTTCCTTCTTCTTTCAAATTTTTTTTCTATTTAATTTACAAACAATGTTGTTTGTTGTCTTTTCATGACTTATCAAAACAAAATCATCAATTTGTTGTGTCCCTCATACTCTCCCGCTATCAAACCCTCCCGTTCTTCATACCAAATTTGTATCTAAATCTATGGACGACCTATTTTCAATCATCTTTGCATGGGTTGTAAAATCATTAGTCCTTGTCCCTCATACTTGTTAGGCAAGGATTGTATTTTATTAATTGAACTATTGTGGTTTTATACGAAGTTTGAATTACATATCTGGTCTAGTTACCTCTCACAGGTATGGCCGTGTGAAGCCAGATATTGTTGCTTATGGGCGAGATATCATGGGTTCCAAAATTAGCACCGGATGCAAGAGCCTATCGGGCACCAGTGTTGCGAGCCCTGTGGTAGCAGGGGTAGTTTGCTTGCTTGTTAGTGTCATTCCTGAAGAAGATCGTCGAGTAATTCTAAACCCTGCAAGCATGAAACAAGCACTGGTTGAGGGAGCTGCGAAACTTTCTGGTCCCCACATGTTTGAGCAGGGTGCGGGCCGGCTTGACCTGTGAGTCCCTATCTCTTATTTCCATCATCAAGTGTATGTACCTGCTCTACAATAATGTCTGTAAACCTTTTATTTCTGTTGTGTGTGTGTGTGTGTGTGTGGAGGGAAGGGGGGCGATGGGGTGGGGTTGTAGTTTGATCATAATTATCTCTCAAGGATTGTGATTTTCGGGATTTAAGTTTTCAAGGTTATTATGGTTAACATTCTAAAAAAAATGGTTATTATGGCTGACGTTCGCATATTGCTCTCTCTGTCTCTCTCTTGCATGCACACACATGCAAGCACATTGACATCAATGGATGAAATCATTCTGAACTTCGAAATTCTAATCAAGAATATTCTTCTTGTCAGGTTGGAATCATATGAAATCCTGAAGAATTACCAACCTCGTGCAAGTATATTCCCAAGTACTCTTGATTACACGGATTGCCCATACTCCTGGCCCTTCTGTCGCCAGCCACTGTATGCTCGCGCCATGCCCGTGATCTTCAATGCCACCATCCTCAATGGCATGGGTGTCACAGGGTATGTTGAATCCCCACCCACCTGGCACCCCTCTGATGAGGTTGGCAACCTATTAAGCATCCATTTCAGTTACTCCGATGTCATTTGGCCTTGGACTGGTTTTCTGTCTCTGCACATGCAAGTCAAGGAAGAAGGAGCTAGTTTTTCAGGCATAATTGAAGGCAATGTTACCATCATTATATACAGCCCTTCAGTGGGAGGAGAGAGAAACCCATTAGAGAGAGGAGAGAGAAATTCTCATAAGAAAAGCACTTGCGTGCTTCAATTGAAACTAAAGGTGATCCCTACTCCACCTAGATGGAGACGGGTGCTATGGGATCAATACCACAGCATAAAATATCCTCCAGGTTATATCCCAAGGGACTCTTTGGATGTTCGAAATGACATCCTTGACTGGCATGGGGATCATCCTCATACAAATTTCCATGTCATGTTCAATATGTTGAGAGGTGCTGGATACTATGTTGAGATCCTCGGTTCCCCTCTTACTTGCTTTGATGCCAGTCGATATGGGACTCTCCTTATGGTGGACTTAGAGGATGAGTATTTCCCTGAGGAGAGAGAAAAACTTAGGGAGGATGTGTTGGTTCGAGGCTTAGGGCTTGCTGTTTTCGGCGAGTGGTATAATGTTGATACCATGGTGAAGATGAGGTTCTTTGATGATAACACTAGGAGTTGGTGGACCCCTGTCACTGGAGGGGCAAATATTCCTGCCATGAACGAGCTCTTGAAGCCTTTTGGGATAGCATTTGGTGATAGGATTTTGAACGGCGATTTCTCGATTGATGGCGAACAGAGCCATTATGCATCAGGCACGAATATTGTGAGGTTTCCAGCTGGTGGCTTTGTCCATAGCTTTCGGATTCAGGATAATTCAGAGAGTGGTGCCACTCAGAATGTGCTGCAGGGCTCTGGTATGGTCAAGGTGAGCACACTCATTGTTCAGTTCATTGCAATGAAACTCACTTTATTATTCCTTACTTTTTCTTTTGTCATCAGGATCTCTGATTTCTTAAAAGGATGTTTAGGAAAGTATCCTGTGCATTCCACCATTCATCTTGAGAATGGGTGGTGGATGCCCTTATTTTGTATTCTATATGATGCACGCCTGTGTCTGATTTATTCTCCCTCATGTTCAAATTTCAAAAAGTAACTATTTCTTCAATGTTATTTTACTTATCTAGAATATAACAGATGAAATTTTTTGGTTATGTTTATTTGCAGATGGAATCTTCCATCTTAGGCCTTGTGGAAGCAGGGGTTGGTCGAATCTCAGTATATGGGGACTCCAATTGCCTGGACAGCAGCCACATGGTAACAAACTGCTACTGGCTCTTGAGAAAAATACTTGATTTCACGAGCAGGAAAATAAAGGACCCAGTTCTCTTCTCAAACTCAGTTAAACTAGCCTCAGCCATGGAGAAAGAAGAAACCCAATTGCCATCTCGGAGAACCGATGTGAATTTCTCGATGTATTCTTCGGTTGTTGACAAGGAGCTGGTTTGCAGAAATGATGCGCCGTTTGAGGTTTGGGGCACCAAGGGTTACGCGTTTCAAATTACTGGGAGGAATAGAAGATTACCAGGATATGTGGGCTTGGATTCTGCTGATGGCATTGATTCAAATACAATAATTTCTGGCTTTGGGAAGAGGTTTAGAAAGCTGGAGGAGCCTGAGACACCAAGTGATGGTGATTTGGGTTCAATAAAAGACGATGGGATTCAAGGAGTGATGGTGGATGTAAGTAATGCTTCTTTTCCCAATCTAAGGAAAATGGACTTCCTGGGTTTGCTCAACAAGGATGAGGTAAGCATCTTTTATCTTGCTCCCCACTCCCTTTTTTTGAGAACATCTATAATTTGCTATAGTATGCAAGCTTTTTTTCCCATTTGGGGTAAATGTGTTCCATAAATGTCATTTTGCAATTCCCTCTGTTATTCCTTATCAAGTAACACAAAAATGATTATCTCAGTTGTTTTCAGAATAATTATTATTTCTATTTTTAGTGGTCACTTGGTTTAACGTTTTACTGAGATCTTTCTGACTAGCATTGCAACATCACTAATCAATAATCCTCAGATTTATCCATCCCCCTTTTCATTGAAAATCAAGTAGCCATAATTAAGTTGAAATGGTAAAACTAAATCATGATTGTTGAAACCACAAGATTAAACTCTGAGCCATGTTCTCTTTCCCTCTCTCTCTCTC